GTTATGTGGAAGCTGTCCAAACTGTCTATTGTTAAGTGGGAGGTGTCCAAACTGTCTATTGTTATGTGTAAGCTGTCCAAACTGTCTATTGTTATGTGTAAGCTGTCCAAACTGTCTATTGTTCTGTGGAAGCTTTCCAAACTATTGTTATGTGGAAGCTGTCTAAACTGTCTATTGTTAAGTGGGAAGTGTCCCAACTGTCTATTGTTTGGGGGAAGCTGTCCAAACTTTCTATTACTATGTTGAAGCTGTCCAAACTGTCTATTGCTATGTGCAAGCTATCTAAAGTTTCTAGTGTTATGTGCAGGCTATCAAAAGCAGGTAGTTAGTACGACTACCACGAGGGTAGCAGGTAATTATTACGGCTACCACGAGGGCAGCAGATAGATAGTACGGCTACCACGAGGGCAGCAGGTAGTTAGTACGGCTACCACAAGGGCAGCAGATAGCTAGTATGGCTACCACGAGGGCAGCAGGTAGTTAGTACGGCTACCACAAGGGCAGTAGATAGCTAGTACGGCTACCACGAGGGCAGCAGGTAGTTAGTACAGGAGGCGTCTTGATGGCAGTGTAGTCGCCTGTCACATTCCTTCAGCCAGGCCTTGCAGACAAACACTCCTGTGTTGGTCTAGGTCAATGGTCGGCTTGTGTTGGTCTAGGTCAATGGTCGGCTTGTGTTGGTCTAGGTCAATGGTCGGCTTGTGTTGGTCTAGGTCAATGATCGGTTTGTGTTGGTCTGAGTCAATGGTCGGCTTGTGTTGGTCTAGGTCAATGGTCGGCTTGTATTGGTCTAGGTCAATGGTCGGTTTGTGTTGGTCTGGGTCAATGGTCGGCTTGTGTTGGTCTAGGTCAATGGTCCGGTTGTGTTCGTCTAGGTCAATGGTCGGATTGTGTTTGTCTAGGTCAATGATCGTCTTGTGTTGGTCTAGGTCAATGGTCGGCTTGTGTTGGTCTAGGTCAGGGGTCGGCTTGTGTTGGTCTAGGTCAATGGTCGGCTTGTGTTGGTCTAGGTCAGGGGTCGTTGAACTGTGCTAAGTAAGCTCAAATGGGGTAAAAAATTATTATCTGGTGTGTAAGGTAATTAGGGGAGGGGGGCGGGGGGGGGGGGGGGGGGGGGGGACATAAAAAAAAAAATTCAGGGGGGTTATTTTTTAATACAAAAATTTTGTTTGGCTTTTAT